GAGTTAATATTGACATTTTTTACACTCTCTTTATTTTTAACTTGCCATTATAAGAAAAACCAGCAACAATCATAAATCCCTTAGAAAAACTTTCTTTCGATTCTTTGAACCATGTACTTAAATTTTTTCTCCCTTTTATGATAATAAACGGCTCTTTCTTTGCTACAATCATTTAAATACACCCATGCTTCATCTATTGTGACGATTGTTTTCCATTTTTCTTTGGATAAGTGTTTGTCATATAGAATTCTGCAGCGTGTCCTGCGTTGAGCGATATGCTTTGGAAGAAGACGATGCACATTGCGTTTTTTCGCTTCTTAAGATTTATATCAACGTTTATCATTTTGTTTACAGCGGACACCGAGCACTTTAATGATTTTGCAACTGTTCTTTGACTAGGGGGATTTTCTTTTAACATTAAACAACGTACCTTTGCAATAGTCGAAGATGTCCGTTTTTTCCTTGGATACTTGTTTGGAATTTTTGTCCCACTTGAGGCTCTAATTTGACGTTTTTTTCCTTTCTTGTTGATGATATTACCTATCGACGCTTTAGATATCACAAAACCATGACTCTCATATCGTTTTTGGATAATGGAGTATGCATATTTCTCTTCGGAAAGAGCGTAAATGTAGCCTTCGAACCACTGCTTTGTTAAATTCGCCATTTTTAATAAAAACAAAACTTTCAAGCCACAGACGATAATTTTAACTTTTAATAACATAGTACAATTGCAATAACTTCTTTTGCAGGAAACCATTTTTTCTTACCGCTTACCAAAATCATCTAAAAATGTGCGAACGAAATAATTCTGAATGCTCAAAGGCGGTATCGCTCATAAATTCATTGGTATTATTGATAAAATTCAAAATCATTACTAGTGACCAACCAGATGTGCATATTAAATTTGAAGTTCTATATTCAAAAATTGTTTCAGTGTTTAGTTTAAATGTGAAAAACTTAGGTCTACTGAATCTATTAAAATCGGAAAATAGCAAAAAAACATTCTAAAATTCATGGATTTATTTGACTTTGGTAGAAACATTTGATGTCCATGACAGCCAAGGAAATACCTATAATTTGCAGAAATAACTACATAAATACATGCGTCAGAGAACTTAATAACATTGAGGCATAACTAAAGTAAAATATTCATTTTATTGCTACTTGCATTTAGATTTCATTCATTCACTAACGATTTATTAATTTTAATTGGGCAATGTAACACACTCTTTTTAGTAAATCAGAAACAGTCATTACATTTCTAAGTTTATACTACCTATACGCGTTTAAATGTTTTAAAATAAATCATTGAAGAGAAATTAATTAATTTATTTATTTATTTACCATCAGATGAGCAGCTGCACCGCCTTTAAGACATTCAGCTTTTACGCTCAACTGATGGAATCATCTACCAACTGTGTTGTTATGTAAAATACAATAAAATTTTAGAATTTCGATAATTACATAATAAAAATAAAATATCAAGAAATAAATATATAAATAATACAATAAATAATAAACATAAATAGATACAATAAATAAAAGTTAAAAATTTAGAATAAGATAAATACAATGTTGTTATATATGAAGTCAAATAAAGTATCAGAATTTTGAGAATTATATAATAAAAATTGAAGAAATTAAATATATAAAAACATAATACCTAAAGAAATATGAAAGTAAATGAAACGTAAATAGATAAGTAAATACTTAAGAAGATCATTACAAATTTTGAAAATGAACAACATAATGTATAAGAATAGTAGAGGCTGAGAATGTAAGATATGTAAAGAGTAAAGTATTTCATTATGATGAATGAAGAGCAGTAATTGAATAAAAGTTGATGAGAAATAGTATTTGAATGAATTAGGATGACCTGAATGAAAAGTTCGTAGAAATTCTTGATAGAGAGTCATTCTTGAGTAAAAGACTTGACTAAAAATCTTGAGTTGAGACTTTATTTATATATTAAGGAGATGGAGTTAGAAAATATCCTTAAATTCTTGATTGAGCTTGAGAGATCTTGAAGGTTTAAATAAAGATAGTCTTGAGTGAAAGCATTAAAATGAGGTAGTAGAAAGAATGGCTTATTAAGTAAGTAAGGTAAATGAACAAAGAATAATGATTTCAAGTTCCTTTAAGATTATCGATGTTTGCGGAGATATAATTTTATTATATTATGAAGAGATTTATTGAGAATATTACTTTTTAATAACTGTTGAAACCATAACTGAGCAGAAGTTAAATTGTATGCTTTAAGGTGATAATCTTTAGTAAGGTTGCAGTGAAAGAGATAATGATCTATTGTGCCTTCATTACCACAGGTACAGAGATTTGTATGCTGAAGTCCGAATCTATGAAGGTATTCTGGAAATGGACCATGAGCTGTTAGGAAAAATGTAATTGAACGGTTGGTAGATATTAATGATCTTGAAGGTTTTGATATGAAAGTAAAAGTTCTTCTGCCGGTAGTTGCTTCAGTCCAGGTTTGCTTCCATAAGTGCATTAATTCTGTTTCTAATTTTGTTTTTAGTAATGATATTGGATATGGAATTGAGTAATTTGGAAGGGAAGAATTGTTTGCAGCCCCTTTTGCTAGTTCGTCTGCGAGCTCGTTACCACTATTACCGATGTGTGCTTTAATCCATTTGAAATGTGGTCTATTATTGTTTTGAAATTGAGAAAGTAGAAAATGGATTTCTTGTACAATAGGCGATCGACTGTGTCCAATTATAGCTTGAATACCAGATGCACTATCAGAGAGAATTAAGGATGGTAAAGAAAGTTCTTTTGCGAAGCATATGGCTTCTTTGATTGCAAAAAGTTCTGCTTGAAAAACTGATTTGTTATTGTTTAAACGAATATTCCAGTTTTTAATATTTGAATTTTTTCGGAATGCGCAATATGCACTACCAACGACTGCTTCAGATTTCGAACCATCAGTATATATGGTGAGTTCACATTTATTGAGTTCAAAGGTTCCCAATAGGGATTTTGTGTAAAAATATGTAGGATGTAGCTCTAAGTTGTGTTTAAGATATTCAAAATCTGTGGGTTGAAATACATTATTATTCATTATGCTTTGAATTCTTAGTTTGATATTCTTATTATTTGCTTCTTTTATTAGAGATAAAGTTTTGAAACTTTTCATATTAGGGCGCTGTTGCGCCAAAAGTTTTGTTTACATATTTAACTGTAGTTATTGCGATGTGTGTGGATATATTTTGTTTTCTTTGAAAGATATTCATGAATTTTTGTATCCAAATCAAGATCTTATTTCGAAACAAAATTATTCGAACAAGAAGTTTATTACTACCCTTTTGAACTACGCATTAGAATCGTTATTCGCTTCGTATTGGAGGGATGCCGGTTATTATTTGTAGCGCACTAGTTGGAGTAGTTCTATATGCTTTTGCTAGAGAGAGGAGGAAAGGTCTTTGGATTGAAAGTAAATGTTTTTGAGCCTGGGAATTCAAGGTTAAACCCCAGACGGAAGCACCATATAGTAGTATTTTTTCAATAACTGTTATGTACCAAATTTTTTCTAATTTTGAGGATATACCCCAAGTGCTGGCTGTTACAGATCGAAGAGAATTGTGAAGGGTTAAAGTTTTGTTTTTGAGATATTGAATATGGAAATGCCAGGATTGCCGAGTATCTAATACTATTCCCAGATATGTGATGCTCTTGTCAATTTTGATTTTTTCTTGAGAAATTTTGATTATTGGCTTTCTTAGGTTTTTTATGGAAGTACCTCTTTTTGGAATATATAGTGCTTTACATTTCGTAGTAGAAATTTTAAGATGAAATTTATCTGTCCAGTTGCGGAAGATATTTAAAGAAAAACTGGAGTTAATTTCTATTGATTTCCGGCTACTTGCGTTCACAATGAGAAGAAAATCATCTGCGTATGCTTGGATATGGGTATGATTAATATTGTCGTATAGTTTTAAAACTTCGTTTGCTATAAGATTCCAAAACGTAGGGCTTAAGCAAGATCCTTGAGGACAACCTTTTGTTAATTTATAATTTATTACACCGGAATCTGAAGAATATTGTAGAGTTCTATTGCATAGGTAGTCTTTGATAATATGAAGGATATCCTGAGGGCATGGTATTATTTCTAGAATTGTTATGATGTCTTTCCAGCGGATAGAATCGAAGGCTGCTTGAATATCTATCGAAATTATTATTGAATGAAGATTCTTTGATTCATTCATCTTTAAGACTTCTTGCATTTTTTGAAAAGCATGATCCGTTGATTTATTTGGTGTGAATCCATACTTATTTTCATGCATGATTTTATTCTTATTTAGATGATATAAAAGTCTTGAAAGGATTAGTTTTTCAAGGAGTTTGCCCAACGTGGGAAGAAGGCATATTGGTCTATAAGATAGAGGGTTTTGTGGCTGGTTTATTTTTCTTGAGGAGCAAAACAACTTCTGCATTTTTTAATATATTAGGAAATGTTAAGTTATACCAGCAGGCGTTAATGAATGATATAATAATTTGTTGATAATTATAAAAAATAAGTTTTAAGATGATGTTGTCGATACCATCGGGACCTGGTGCTTTCCTGTTATTTAGTCTTTTGATGATATGTTCCAATTCATCGATCTTTGGAGGGATGATAACTGTTGGTGGATTAGGACGACGTGTAGAAGAACTGTTAGATGCTTCTGTATCTGTGGTATGATTCGATCTATATTCATCTTGTGGGAATAGTTTTGATAAAATTTCTAACGCAGCTTGGGAAGAGGAAATTGATTCAGAGAAGCTGTACATTGATAATGAAGGAGGAGTGAAAATTTTATTGTGCGCTATTATGAAGGCGAAGCCATAAATTTTGAAGGTAGAAGTGCAAAATGTTTTCCAACTAGTAATTTTTGATATTCTGATATTTCTTTTATAATGCGCTCTTGCTTTTTGAAAAGCTATTTTATAGTGAGTTTTTTCTGTATCTTCTATACAGGCTTTGTATCTTCTTCTGAGAGCTCTTACTTTTTTCTTTCTATTGCAAGATTTTGGTTCCACCATGGAGTACTTAATTTTTTGGTACCTAAGCATCGTTTATATGAGGCGTTGCAGATCTCTGTTATACTATTTATGAGGTATGAAACAGAGGAATTTACTTCCGCTTTTGAAGAGGCTATTTTTAAGGAATGAAGAATACTGGCAGAGTAATTTTGTAGATTAGCTATAAATTTATTGTGTCCGCCATAATGAGTTTTGAAGCGACGTTTTTTATTAAAAGTGAAATCAGATTGTATTTCAAAGGTGATGAATCGGTGATCACTAAAAGATTCTATTTCAGAAACTTTCCAATTTGTGATTAAGGATGCTATTTTAGGCGTTGCGAGAGTTAAGTCAATCCAACCTTGTGCTCTTAATGTCAGGAATGTAGGTGGACTATTAGCGTTATTTAAAATTGTAAGTCGTTTTTCTTGAATAAATTCTAAAAGCAGTCTACCTCTATTATTTTCAACCGGCGCTCCCCATACAGGGCTATGTGCGTTGAAGTCTCCTGCAATGATGTGATTTGAGTTTGGAGGCAGTTGAATTGAGTCCAGTTCTATAAGTATCTCTTGCAAGTCTATTGATGGAGGAGCATAAATGGAGGTACAAAATAAAGGATGAATAAGAAATTCTAATTTGATAGTTATTGTATGTAGAGTAGTATGAACTATTATTGGAGTTAGAGGCCCAATGTAGATTATAGCAGATTTTATGAGAATGCGAAAAGATGATAAAATAGCCCCGATGGAATTTCCAATTTCCTTGTTGAGGGAAATATATGGTTCTTGTGCAAAGATGATATTGATATTTTCTTCTTTTGCAAACTGTAGAGCATTCGGTAAAGTAGCACGAGCTCTTTGTAAATTTATTTGTAGTATTCTTATTTGTTTATGAGAATCCATTAGTAGTATGTTCTTGATATTATTTTCGAGACTTCTAATTGATAAGAAGGGCAGTGAACGTCATTTGCAGCATGATAGATATGAAAATTGGTGTTAAAATAAGAGTTATTAACTTGACAGTTAATGCAGGTTGGAGCTGGAGCTTGACATTGCGAGATATGATGATTATCTCCGCAGTATAGACAATGTGTTGAATAAGTGCAGAATTTGCTTGAATGTGTGAAATCTTGACAATTATTGCATCGACGAATTCCGAAGTGCTCGGTGATTCGAATAGTTTTCCAACCTATTGCAATTGATTTCATGTTGATAAGAAGTTCAAAAACCGTGGGGGAACATTCAATTACCCACTTTGTTGTAGATTCTGATCTTTCTGAAAGTTTGAAAAGTGGGGTGAAAGAGTGGTTGGAAGTATCTATTAACGAAGATATTAAGGCAGAAATGTCCTGATCCGTGTAATGGGCTGGAACATTGTGAAAGTTACATCTTGGGAGTCTTGGTAAAGAGATTCGAAGAGAAATATTATCTATTGGGCTATCTATTATTGTTGTTTTAAGGAGTTTGACATCGTTGTAAGATTCGCAGGTGACAACCAGGCCTCCTCTTTTAAGTTTGGTTATTTTTTAATTTTCTGTTTCAAATTGTTTAATGGTACATAGTGATCCAAATCATCTAAAAGTTTTTCAGTTATTATTTTCGTATTATTTTCTTTTGGATGGATGATAAGTGCTGGAGATTTTTTATTTGAGTTGTAATCGTTCACAGATGGATAATTGTGTGGTAGTGTGATATTCGGAGTAGAATGTGTATGGCAGTTTGATCTCATATGCAAGTGATCTTGATGAAAATTATCAGTGTGAGTTTCATTTAAATGAAAATTAGGAATAATATGAGCTGATTTATTTTGAGTATTGATTTTTTCTTTTTGAGATTGAGGAGACTGAATAGACGGAGTAACTTGCCCCGCTTTGTCTTGCATAGTAGTCTTCTTATTATGAGTATTTGGAGACAGGATAGTAGGAGTGACTTGGCCTGATTTATCAGAATAGTTCTTAATTTCAGTTGATTTCATGGCAATATTTCTTAGATTGTCCAAAATTTGTGTTAGTTGATTTTGTAACTTTAATGGAATAGTGTTCTTTTCCCCATTTTTGGATTTTAACGATTTCAGTCCTTTGTTGTAAAAGAATTCGATGACCTCCTTATTGCTGACGAGGACATTTTCAGAATTTTCGAGAACGTCAGTTGAATACTCCATATCCAATTCTGAATTTGTGTCCGAAAAAGTATGAATGGTACTCATTATTATTATAAAATAATAGAAATGTAGAGAAGAAAAATAGAAATAAAAGTTTATCAGGACCTTCTTCGGGAGGACTGACTCGGAACAGAGAGCTTACTAAAGCTATGTTCACTAGTTGTGGTAATTAGACAGGATACAGACGAAAGGTATACAAAACCCTTTATTTTCTCTAATACAATAACTTCCGTACTTCGGAATACAACCCGCCACTCGGGTCTAACGTGTATAAAAATAAAATAAACTCTAATTTAACTTTAGAATAATCACGTGGAAGATTGGCCTTATAATAACAGGAAGCGTATGTGAACTGTGAACACTACAATACGTTTAATTATCAAGAGGATTACCTCTGGCCTGGAAGGCAAAAGCAATGCGTAACTTCTAAGGTAAGCGGCCTGCGTTGAACTGCTTCCTCTCTTTCGCTTGGCAAAAAGGCCAATAAATACTTGGCGTTCGCCACACAAACTTTGCATAAAAACCTTAGCTTATAATAGAAATAGAAAATAAGAAGTGAAGTAAAGATTTAAAATAAAAAAAATAGAAAACTTAAGATCCTTAAAGTTGAAGTCTTGTAAAATTGAAATCTTCAAAACACAAGAGTCAATGCTTTCTGCTATTAAAATGTAAACAATGCGTTAACTTTTATTTCGTATATTACTATTTAATAATATTTAAATATTTAGTGTTTCCAAGTACAGAAAACTAAACAATTTCTTAAAATATATTTAAAATGAGATTTATTTATTTTATAATTAAGGATATTAACAATTTTATATATTAGATGAATGTATTATTGCATGCGCTTAGTTAAATTTTGACATATGCATTGCTTAGTAATTATTCCAATGATTTAAATATGAAAATAAATAGTAAAATATTGAAAAATGTATAATAACTTTTAAAATAATGAATATTCAGAAATTAAACCAATATGAAAAGAAAGAGAAAATTCTTCTTGTTATTTCTATTATAAAATCATTATATTTCAACAAAATCTTAAAATGAAAATATAAAAGATATATGTATTTAGATCAGTTAGAGCCGATACAATAATGTAACTCAATAAATTTTTCTTAAGATAAAAGAGGATAAGTATCAAAATTTGAAAATATAATAATTTTTAAATGCAAATAGGTATAGGAAAAGTATTTATCTTAGTGAAAAGAAGAAAATTTCTCTTATAAGAAAATATAATTTAAAACATAATTTTCAAATGAAATCTTGAAAATATCTAGTACATAAAGCTTACACCACCGTTGAAACGGAGTAATGATTGTTGAAAAGCAGAGACCTATTTTCCGAAGTTGTAATTAATTCAACCGTCCACAGGTGATAAGGAGCACCCCTTGAGAGTTATATCAAACTCTTATAAAGGGCTGTCGAATGGCATATTTTTCATGAATATACTGTCGGCATTTCCGCCTTACAAATCCTCAAACGATCAGCATTAAAACATCCAACAAACAATGTAGCAGTCAGTAGATGATCTGTGAAGAGAAACTAATTGTAAAATCGTACAGAACAGCCTAACTGTTAAAAGACTTTAGGACGCTCAAAGACGAATTATTGTCTCCAGAGTGGAGGAAATCTGAGATGCATTTCAATCAAAATCAACGGAAAGGTATTTACGTGTTTAGCCGGCGTTTAGTCTTCTTGACTGCAATTCATTGGTTCATTACCAGCAGAATACCTTCAGTATTCTACTAAATTTGGATTTATGTGAAACCGTGAAAAGGATCTTTAGAAAGCTATATAGTAAATCCTGGGCATATATAAAAAAGATACCAATGTATTTCATCATTTCAAGCATATTAAAAACACTACCGGCTAAAATTTATATTGTCTTTCACTCAAGTCATTAGAAGATTAATTTACAAATGGATTACAAATCGTTATATGTACGAGAAGCTTTAATTATTAGGATAATTTAAGCAATCGTCGAAGGGAGCCGACATATATGGCTTCTATCTTACTCCTTAATATAAGAAGATGGATCTAATCAACTTTCAATCAAGCAAATATCATTTAAATTAATATAAAACAAATATTAATTGAAGATTAAACGTTACGCCTGTCATAAATTTTCAGAAAACATTTTTTTATTTTTTAAATCTACTGACCTCAAATTTTAAATAACTTGATTTTCGCTCTTTGTAAAACAATATTTTGTTTTACCAGACGTTAGGAATCAGTTTATTTCAAGGATTACATTAAAGCAATGCTTTAAATTGCGTATATACAAAATTCATCCTTATAAATAAATGAGAGCTATTTAAATCAGCATAATCGATTAAAGTTTGTAAATTACTTATAACTGCCAAATGCAAGTGATAAAATTTTGAAACTTAATACAGTAGATCAAATTATTTTAAAGCATGATCTTTATTTATTCTATAGATCACACCAGTCCTGTTCATCCGAAATTATATAACGCTTATGTTTAAACAAACGAAAAAAAGATAAGACTCAAGTTGAAATAATGTTAAATCATTTTTCAGAATCGTGACAAAAATAATCAGATTCCCTTTCTTTTCATTTCATCGAAATATATTATTATAAGATTTTAAAACAAGCATTAGAAAAACAGATGCATCTGTAGGAAAATTTTTCAATAAAAGCAAATACTAAACAGAAAGGATGGGCGAAGAATTAGAACGTTAGATACTTTTGAAAACTTTAATTTTTAAATTATTATTTTTCTAATGCTACCTCTTAATTATGCTCTTTTCGAAATAGTCGTCTTATTTTACTTACGAATTCAAAGCAATGCTTTGTGTTGAAAGAAACAAATTTGCATATATAAGTAGAGACACTTAAATACGTTTTGTCCAGGAGACAACATCAAACTCTACCAGCTTAAAAATATTATAGCGAAGTATTTCCTTCTTGTTTAACTACTAAATTCATTCTAGTCTTTGGATTCCAAATCTTTTACTGAAAACAGACACTGAACTTCTATGAAAGAGCTAGTGTAATAAAGAAGGCCTAAAGTTTTTGATTTGGGAATAGAAGATCACTATTTTACTGCAAAATAATGTATGTAAATTTCAAGCTAATGACTAAGTTTTATTACAAGAAGAAATTCTTCTATCTATTCTTATAGTGACTCCTTACCATCCTGGCACAACATCATTTCATCTTTTTGTGTTACGTTCACTTTTTCAAAATTTATATGTTTCAGGGTATGGTTGCAATGTTTGCAACCATGACACTTGCAAACAGAACTTAGATGTGGACCTCTGACTACAGCTTACAATCTCATCTACTCATAATCGACATTTTAATATTCTCTATACAGCTCAAGAAGTCATACTTGTGACAGTTTTGAACTGCCGGCAGTCTTGATTATTTATTTTTCATTTGAACGTTAATGCTTTGTTAGTACTGGTACACCTACAGGTTAAAGGAAAGCCGTCGCCTATTCATTTCTCTCTCTCTCTCTCTGTCTCACCATATATGTATTAGGTAACGCTACCCCTGTTTCCAGGCATAACACCTAAGGGGAGAGCGGTTTTCTCAAATCATCAATCTCTCAAGGAGATTTTCGGTTCTCCGTGCATTTTGAGCGACTCCTTTCTGTACTGAGATTTTAAGCTTTTAAACAATCCTTCTTAAGGATTACAACTCAGGACTTAAGGATTACAACATTGGCAGCTAGCGTCACCAACCGCTATACCGGCTGAGTGGTTTTAACTCT